CAAGAGGCTCGCTTGAGCCCAGGAGTTGGAAGTTGCTGCGAGCTGTGATGCCAGGGCACTGTACCCAGGGCAACAGCTTGAGGCTCTATCTCAAAAAAGAAAAAAAGTCCTGCTCATACCTTCAACTCCTCTGGACATCAAAGACTAAGAAATGAAGCAATGACAGGACTCAGAGTTGCCAGATAAGGAAACTATTTCCTGCTAAAAGTAGATGAAAAGATGTGATTCAGGCCCAGCATGGTGGCTCATGCCTCTAATCCTAGCACTCTGGGAAGTGGGGGAGGGTAGATCACCCAAGCTCAGGAGTTAGAGACCAGCCTAGGCAAGAGTGAGACTCTGTTTCTACTAAAAATGGAAAAACTAAGCAGGTGTGGTGGCAGGTGCCTATAGTCCCAGCTACTTGGGAGGCTGAGGTAAGAGGATTGCTTGAGTCCAGGAGTTTGAAGTTGCTATGAGCTATGATGCCACAGAGCTCTACATACTCAAGGAGACAGAATCTCCAAAAAAAAAAAAAAAAAAAAAAATGGTTTGGTGAAAATATAACTAACATGTCTATACTATAAATCAAGTTGAAAGGCAAGTTATTAGGAGAAAATACTTAGTTATGTTAGTAATATATAAAAGTCTCTGTAGCATCAATTATTCAAAAAGTTACTCATCATATGGCTTGGCACCTGTAACTCAGGAGCTAGGGCACCCGCCACATACACCAAAGCTGGGGGCTTAGAATCCAGCCCGGGGCCTGCCAAACAATGACAACTATAGCCAAAAAATAGCCCAGCACTGTGGTGGCCACCAGTAGTCCCAGCTACTTGGGAGGCTGAGGCAAGAGGATCACTTGAGCCCAAGAGTTTGCAGAAGATATACAAATACAGCAGAACCTCCATAGCTGATCCCCTCTCTACATTGACCACCTCAAATTGACCTAATATTCATGGACCAGATATGAATCATATGTACATGTAAGTACAGTAGGCTTAGTTCCTTATGTTGACTACCTCCATATGTTGACAAGTATGTTACAGTCCCTTGGGCGGTCAACTTACAGAGGTGCTACTATATTTTGTAAGCATGTACAAAGTACTCAATCTTATGAAAAATCAGGGAAATGCACATTACGGTAATGAGATCATTTTCATCTCTCAGATTAAAAATGAAAAAGACTGATAATATTCTGCATTAGTGAGAGTTTAGGGGGGCAAAAGTACTCTTAAACAGTGTTGGCTCGGCGCCTATGGCTCAAGTGGCTAAGGTGCCAGCCGCATACACCTAAGGTGGAGGGTTCAAATCCAGCCCAGGTCCACCAAACGACGACGGCAGCAACCAAAAAATAGTCGGGCGTTGTGGTGGATGCCTGTGGTCCCAGCTACTTGGGAGGCTGAGGCAGGAGACTCACTTGAGCCCAGGAGTTGGAGGTTGCTGTGAGCTGTGATGCCACAGCACCCTACCCAGGGGGACAGCTTGAGACTCTGTCTCAAAAAAACAAACAAACAAAAAAACAGTGTTGCTGGCACTGAAAATTTATATAGTATTTTTGTACCATTTTGGAGTTGCCAGTACTTCTTATCCCAGAAATCTATCCTGCAAACACTCTTAACACACATCAACAAAGGTGGAGGACAAACTGTTCATTGAAGTGTTGCTTCACTGTAATATAGTAAAAAAAAAAAAAAAAAATTATACTACACCATGAGATGCAAAGCATTCATTGGCAAGGAGGAAAGAAAGGATTCAAGAAGGGAGGAAGGGGGCGGCGCCTGTGGCTCAAAGGAGCAGGGCGCTGGTCCCATATGCTGGAGGTGGCGACATCAAACCTAGCCCTGGCCAAAAACTGCAAAAAAAAAAAAAGACGGGAGGAAGGGAGGGAGAGAGAGGAAGTTATCATAGCTGGTGATTATACTGCCTCCACAGTAAAAGAACCTGTCTTGGCACCATGAAGGAAATACTCATGGAATTAAGTAACATTTGCACTTTAGGAATATCCTGAAGCACACACTTTCACTCAATTAAACAAATATTTATTAAGCAATTATTGTGCGCTGAGTGTTGGATAAAATATACACTTACCTAAAAGATCACAGGTTCAAGAAATGACCTTGCTTTAAGAATTCTATCATCTAAAGCAGGCGTCCTCAAACTACAGCCCACGGACCACATGCGGCCCACCTAGGACATTTACCTGGGCTGCCAGGTGTTTTTGCCGCCGCTGCCTGTCCTGCTTAGCAGTCGACTCGTCCAGGGGCCCACAGTCCAGCCCACCAATGGTCTGAGGGACAGTGAACTGTCCCCCTGTTTAAAAAGTTTGAGGACCCCTGATAAAGTTACTCATTATGTCACATTTATACCGTATATTTGTCTTCCCCAAGAGAATGTATAATTGTTTCTCTACTGTCTACACCAGGGGTCCTCAAACTTTTTAAACAGGGGGCCAGTTCACTGTCCCTCAGACTGTTGGAGGGCTGGACTGTGGGCCCTGGGACGAGTCAGCTGCTAAGCAGGACAGGCAGCAGTGGCAAATACACCACTTGAGTGTAGTGGTTTGAGGCCGCCTGGTCTACAGTGTATGTGTGGTACATAGTAGGGGCTAAATAAACATTCCTTGAATTAAAGAATAAAGAAGTGAAAGAATGAACAAATAGTTTCTACTCTTATCCAATTTTTGGTGCTCCCTGGGAGTTGTCACTCTAACAAATTTTGTAATTTACTTATTTGTACTGTACTACTGCCCTTTAAGACAGTGGTGTTTGTTTTATTCAGTAATGTCTCCCAAGTGTTACAATGCTAAATCTTTGTTGAATGAGTGCTTGTTTTTAAAAACTGCTAAGGGGAGAATTTCTGAATTTTCACTTGGTAACAGCCCCCTCCATGTTGTCTTAAGACATTCCTCACAGGTCCACTGAATTCTTGAAATGTTCATTTACTTCCAATTATTCTGATCTACTGGAGCATCTTTTGTCATAATGATCACAGTAAGGATTAGCAATGATTTATAGATCTTCCTACTCCATGAAAGTGTACACGCCAGCTTTCCTTCCTAGAGGGAGAAAACTTCCATGGTGGGAGAGAGTGGCAACTGCCCAGGGTACTTAGTTTTGATAGCGAACAGCTGTTGCCACCCCAACCAGTGAGCCAGTCAATCTCCTTAAATCTCTGGCTCATAGCAGTGAACAGATTCCTGATTGTAGGCCTCCCACAATCCATGAAAGGGAAGCCAAATTAGACACCCATTTCTGGACAAAGTGATAGAATCAGGAATGAGTTTATAGGCCAAGGAAAAGAGACCCCATGGCTGTCCAGAGCATTTTCTTGAGATTCTGAAAAGAGATTAAGATGCCAGTCCTGTATAGATGCAATAAATCCAGTTCTGGGAAGCCTGAATGTTCCAGTCCTATGATTTTTGTGAATAAAATGAATAGACATTAGTTCTAAGGCTGATTACTAGATTGCCTCCTCCTCTATCTACCCCTACCTGGTACATTTTAACCAAAATAAAATGTTTAACTTGATTTATGAACAATTTCAAAATAGGACATTTTAATTGGAAACAGTTCCTATGGTCTGTTGTTCAATGAAACACTGTACATCCAGGCAAAGTATAACAAAGAAAGTAAAATGTTACATGTCCTTATAAATCAATATGAAAAAACATCAAAGGTTTCAAAATATAAAAAAGTAAGTTACAATTACAGTGAAAGTTCACTGTTTTTTTTTTTTTTT